TTGATCATTTAAGATTTAAAAAATGAGCGTCAAATACCTTCGGCAGCGTTGTCTTTTCTCTACTGACATCTTCTTCTGTGTCATCATGTCAATTGGTAATGTTATCTGCAGTGGTAGACTCTTAAGAACTCTGGCCCTTTTATAATATGGCTCCTAGACAAGCTGAGTAATAAAACATTACTTAAGCTGTTTCCATACAATTTATTTACCTGAATAGTCTTGATGACTTGGAGACCTTGATTCATGGATTGTGTAAAAGATCTGTTTATGTATTTTCTTTCATTGATCACTAAACTACTCAGTAATTCATTTACTCTCCACACAGGTTCATCAGTATTTCTAATTCTACTGTGAGCTTTGTCACTTTCTTTACAACAAGTAATTCCTTTCCCTGTGCATTCATCCACAGCATAAATTTTTAATCCTGCTGTTCCTTTGCTTTCAGTAGCTAAGCTTTCTCCTCCTGTTTCTTGTTCCTCTTTCTCCCCTATCCAAACTTCCTCTTTCTCTTCCTCTACTTCCTTAATCCAATATTCCTCGTCCCGTCCCACCATTTCCTCAATCCAATGATTCTCTTCCTGATCCCCCTCTATCCAATCCAAAGCAGGAGAAGGGTTCTCTTGTTTTCTGTTCCATTTCCCCCTCCATGCTCCTTCCAATACTCCTGTTTCTTTCCCTACTCTGACATATCTTGCTCTTGCCTTCCCATAGCAGACTCTATACAATCTTTCAATTCCTATCACACTCTCCTCTTCCTGGTCTTTGGACCAATCTTCCTCTTCAGGCTCCTCCTTCATCCAATCTTCCTCCTCCCATTTCTCTATCTTATTTTCCTCTTGCTGCCCCTCACCGTTTAATTGCACCCCCATTTTAGGAGAAAGGGGTGTGCACCTGACCCCTTGCATCCTACCCCCCTGGGTACGGGCCTGTCTAATTATTAAAAGAATATTGCTTGAAATTAAAATTTAAATGATAAATATGTAAAAAAAAAATCTGGATTTGTAACACAAATCAATTAAATTTTAAAAATATTTAAACATTTTAAAATTCGCACATTTAGGATTTAAAGCATTAATTCTGATACAGGTAGAGAGAGTGGAAATTAAACAAATCAAATGTCACTATGATACTGGACATGAATGTTGTGGTGTAGATAAACATTGCTCTAATCTTATCTTTGTTTTTAAAAAATATTTAAAATATTAACTGTTTGCAAAAGCAAAAAATAAAAATAAAATTTTGTATAATTTATTACTATACACAGGAATATAGTACAGTCATGTTTTGCCTCATGTAGTCTGTATGTGCACTGTACTGCTTGCCCTGTCTAGTTGAAATTCGGCCCGGTACATGAAATGAACTGAAATGTACCGTGATTATAGCAATACTTAAATGAGTCTGTTTACACTGGTCCATTGCTGTTCTGGGTACTACAAACGTCGGACCTACAAATGTAGGACGGTACAAAGGTCGGACTTACAAACGTCGGACTAGTACAAACGTCAGACCAGTACAAACGTCAGACTAGTACATTATAAGGGAAAACGTCGGACTTTGAAAAAAAGACCAGTGTTATAAGAAATAAATAAACTAATAAATTGACATTTGTACTGTCCGAAGTTTGTAAGTCAAATTGTAATAATATATGTAATAAGTAGATCAATAAGTGAGTTGAGTAGTTCTAAGTAGATCAATAGGTGAGTTGAGTAGTACTATGTACTAAGTAGATCAATAGGTGAGTTGAGTAGTACTACTGTGTACTAAGTAGATCAATAGGTGAGTTGAATAGTACTATGTACTAATTTGATCAATAGGTGAGTTGAGTAGTACTGTGTACTAAGTAGATCAATAGGTGAGTTGAGTAGTACTGTGTACTAAGTAGATCAATAGGTGAGTCGAGTAGTACTGTGTACTAAGTAAATTAATTTAAAAATAAACATTTTTACTGACTGTAATCGGAATTCCAAATTACCTTACATTTAAAGAATTGTGTGTCCGATTATTACTGTCACATTTTAATTTTTGTCTTTGAAATNTGTACTAAGTAGATCAATAGGTGAGTTGAGTAGTACTACTGTGTACTAAGTAGATCAATAGGTGAGTTGAGTAGTAGTACTATGTACTAAGTAGATCAATAGGTGAGTTGAGTAGTACTGTGTACTAAGTAGATCAATTTAAAAATAAACATTTTTACTGACTGTAATCGGAATTCCAAATTACCTCACATTTAAAGAATTGTGTGTCCGATTATTACTGTCACATTTTAATTTTTGTCTTTGAAATTGTGAAAATAAATCTTATGGAATTCAAAATGAAAAGTTATGAATATTAATATTTTTTATTATGTTTTAATCAATGTTAATCAGTTAAAAAGTTAGTGTCTCATAAAATACCATGGAAGGACTTAAGGAACCGTCCATGGAATTTCTTCTTTACATTTTTTTTCAGGAATTCCAACAGTTAAGCGAGAGTTTCAGAGTTATTTAGTCCCTACCCTGCAATCAGTTTTTGACAATATGAACGAGGTGAAGAATGAATTCAGTTATTTTATTATCCATTGCAGGATTTATTGGCTGTGTGATATTGATTGTGTTGAGCAAATTGGTGTTTTTGATCATATTGATTTTATTGATAATATTGATTTTATTGATTATATAATTATATTGATCATATTGATCATATTGATCTATTAGTCACATTCATTTACTGATCAATCGATTTTTTAATTCGTAAATGTGAGGATTGATCAATGTTTAAATGAGAATAGAAATTAAACTACCCAAATACTGCAGTAGGCTTAATCTTGAATTCAAATATTATTCAGCTAATAAATCACATTTCTTCTGCAGTCTGCACAAAAACTTTTTATTTCTTCTGAAGTCTGCACAAACACTTTTTGAGGAGCAAATATGTTTTTGATTTGCTAGTAGTTATTAAGATTGTTAAATTATTACTTGATTCCGTGCCGCTCGAATGATTCTAAAACGGATTTTTATTAATTTTCAATTCTTTCATGAATTTATGTTTAGGAAGAAATGAAGGATACCTTGGTGATCGTTTTTATCGCAGAAACAGATCCTGAAGCTGTTTATCAGGTAAAAACAGATACTTGAACCTGTTTATCAGGTAAAAACAGATACTTGAACCTGTTTATCAGGTAAAAACAGATACTTGAACCTGTTTATCAGGTAAAACATATCATGAATCTGTTTATTATGTAAAACAGATCATGAATCTACTAATTAGGTTTAGAAATCTTGAATTTGTTTATCAAGTTAAAACAGATCCTGAAATTTTTTATCGGTAAAAACCGATCTTCTACTAATTCTCTGATTAATAAAAAACGTATCAAATAGCAAATTGTTCTGGATATGTCTGGATGTGGCAGTAAGATGTCGTAAGTCTGCTTTTATTTATTCCAATTTGATTTGAAGGGGAAAATGGGGCCTTGAACTAGTGAACCGGATAACTTATTCATCATTTATCAATTTTTGTTTTTATTTGGCATTAGCTCAAAAAGAAATAAATTGGTTTTTTTAGGTTTCATCCGAGATTCAGGCACACTTCAGCAAACATTTTGATTCAGGTTTATACAAATATATATTTTCTAAATTATAAACAATTCTTTATCTATTTTAATCAAATTCAATTCAGTAAACAGTATTCGGAATTTAAGATTTAATTTTTGAATTAGGAATTCAACTTTTGGGAATTTAGTACTTTATTGAATATTTATTGTTTTGAGTTCCGAATCCTGAATTCAGCCTTTGGATTTCCTTGGTTTTCTAATTCAAAATTTATGATTTTAACTAAAATTACTTTAATTGACAGAATTTAACACTAAAAAAAATATAAAAACGGAAGTATCTTCCTCATTACTGCTCATATTAAGTTTTATTGCAAACCGTTGTGAATCTAACATGTGGCTCTTGAAATTAGGTCGACAGTCCCTTTAATTTAGGTTTACTGGAGGTGGTCTCCCCTCCTGCTGAGTTCTATCCTGAAATGTCGTCCTTAAAGCAAACTCTAGGAGACGAGATGGAGAGGGTTGTTTGGAGGAGTAAACAGGTTTCATTCATCCATTCATTCATTCATTCATTCTTTAATTAAGTAATCCTTTTAATTCATTCTTTCATCTTTCTATCAATTAATCCTTTAATTCATTCACCTATTTATTCATCTTGTCATTCATCAATTCATTCAATCTCCTGTTAATTAAATCATTTATTATTCATAAGTATTTATTTATCAATTTATTCATTTTTAATTTTTTTGATCAATTCATAAATTTTTCAATTAATGCATTCATTCATTCACAATTTTTTAGAATTTGCTTTTACTTAGCCTATTTTTTAATTTATAAAGTCCTAAAATAGTGGTATGGAAGATTTGAAATATTTTCCTAATTGTAATATTTTTTAATTGTAAATGCACAAACCGCGGTGGTTGGCTCAGCTCCAATATTGATGATGCTTAAGAGGAAGTCCCTAATTATATATATTTGTTCTAGGCTTTAGATTTCTCCTTTCTCATGATGTA